AATTCAACAAATTAAATTACTATCTTTATTTCTTAAAATTTGAGATATATTGATGAAAAACAAGAGGTTGAAGCCGGAAGTATTTTTCACGATTCATCAGTTTTGATAATTGTTGAAAATATAGTTAGAAATTTAGAAAAACAAAATTTAAAAATAAATAATTACAGAAATGCCATTAAGATTTTTTAGGATTGCCCAGCGTTTCTTTCTTTTTATATATAAGATATATATATGAAATATCAACCTTTAATCCGTGTTAGGTTTCCCTTAATAAGTATCGGAGAGGTTGGCATAGTTAGGCAATCCAAACAAAAGATTGAGGGTCCAAAAGTAATGACTAATACATGCAATAATGATCACATTTCATCATTGATTACCTCATTAGGAGTATCTTAATTAAGTAGCATGATTAATTAGAATGCTAAAAGTAGATAAGAGTATGTGGACCAAATATTCGATTTTGAGTACGACCATGGACATATACACAGCCACGTGTTCAATAAAATCACACTAGGTGATCGGTAGGCAGCCACTGTAGATGAAATGGACCCCTACCTACAGAATTTTACAAAGGACTCCATTTCAAATTAGGGTAAATTACAACCACCCCTGAGGTATGGTCAATTTACGAAAAAACCACTCTTGTTTGGATGATTACATCCACTCCTTCAACTATGATTTTTTCTTACATCTCCACCCTTATGGTGTCAAATTCAACATAATAATCTAGATTTCGTGGAATGTGCTCGAGTTTGTGTAAAAATACAGTTTCTGATGCACCACAATCTCATATATATATGCCAAAAAACACATATTATGATCATCTTTCTTCAAATTGTGGAGTTCGAATGGGATAAAACGGGTACAAAAGTGATAATACTTCATATAATCTCGAAGATTCCACTAAATTGAAACCGCAAGGATGGACGTGTAAGAAGATTTATAGTTGATGGGAGTGGTTGTAATTACCCAAATATAAGGGAGTTTTTTGTAATTTAATCATACCTCATGGGTTAGGTTGTAATTTACCCTTCAAATTATATATGGCTCGACACAATTATGGAGATATTGCTAGCTGTTCAACCAGTTGGACTGGATTAACAAAAAAATTGACTAACTTTGACTACCAAATATATATACTAATTTGTAGTTTGTAACAAATAAAAATTGGGGTATTGCAAAAAAAGCTATGAGAAGGGCATTTAATTAAAATAAGGATATTGTATTCTATTGTCTTTTAAAGATATCCATTTCATTCAAATTTATTTGTTAATAAGGAAAACTCTTTCATATATAAAAAAAGTTACTCAAAAGTTTAACTCCTGAAACTCTAATTTGCTTCATGATTTAAACTACAATTTAGCCACAATTTCACCAATTAACTCATTTCATTCCCTAACTAATATTGACCGCCACCGATGGTGACTGCCGATCTCCGGCTTTGAGTTTTTTTTTTAACATTTGTTTTTTAACTCCTTTCACTAATATTACTGTGTAATTATTAGTAACATTGTTTCATATGGTAAGATTACTGCGTTAATATTAATATTATTGTTTCAGCCTACAATATTATTGTTTCAAATAATAATTGTACTGTCTGAGACAGTAATATTACTTTCTCAGCCTTGCAATGTTCCTGTCTAGACAATAATTTTAGTGTTTGAGACAGTACTTTTACTGTAAGAGGCAGTAATATTATTGTCTCAGTGCAATAGTCATGTTTAAGTTAATAATATCACTATCTTAATGCAATAATACTGTTTGAGACAGTAATTTTACAGTCTGAAAATCAATGTGTTTGTTGTTAAAAAAAGAATTCAAGAAATTGTGAAAAAAGGAGTTAATGTTATATATTTATTAAAATTTGGGGTCAAAGTGCAATATTTGTTAAGTTGAGACATTATGGATGAAATTAATATAAATTATATCGTATGGGTATTTTGAACAAGAGACAAGGAGATGGAATTTTTTGTAGGAATGATTTTGATCTGAATAGGAGTGCAAATAAAAATGATACCCGGATAGAAATTTTACTATAAAAAAGATAATTAGAAGGGTAAGTAAAATTAACCCCTTGTGGTTGGACTTTTGCTTTACAATCCTAATTCAATTTAAAAAACCCCAAATTCAAACTAACACCTAATTTAGTGAAAATTCTTAATTTTATTTAAAATCCCCCAAATTTAAATTCAAAACCATCTTTCATTGTTTTTCGCCACAAAACAAAACCCATTTTCTCTTATACATACACATCTCTCTCTCCTTCACATATGTCTCTCTCCCTCATTCACATAAAGTTCTTTTCTCCCCACGATTCTTTTCCTTCCCATCTTTTCACTATTGTAAAAAACCCTTAAAAAGAATCAAACTTCAATAGGAGATTGAGAAATTTAAACATATAAGGAATTTCACTTCAATTAGGCCATTGATATAATTCAGCATTTAATCTGGGTTTTATTTGAAGGTCCAAGAATACCTGGGTATACCATAAGTCTTTGTTAACTTAGTTGTTATTTTGTGTTTCATTATTCCCAAAATCATATGTTTCACTTTTATTCGAATTAGAGAAGAGTTGGAAAAAAAGGTAAATGGGGAAAAAAACACTAAAATTGAAGAAAAATTAAACCCCCACGATAATATAAGAGAGGAGACAAATTTCCCCCAGCTAATTCCACCTAAATGGAATTTTTAACGTTTTTTTTTTCAGGTGTATATTTTTAACATAAAACCTGACACCATTAATGTTTTTAACAGTTATTAATGTTAACTGAGTTGCGGAAGGGTACAAACTTTCCCACTTTGGAGTTGATGGGGCATTTTGGATCGGAACCTATAGTTCAGGGGGTAACTGTACTTACCCGTTATTAAAATGCTATCATTTATATTTAAAATTTTGAAAAATCAAAATAGAATTAGATAGAAGAAATATTTAATCAAACTAAAATGAGCGATTCGAATTATTAAATTTTTTTTACCAATTTTAATATTTAACTCCATCAATAGAGTCGAACTGTCTATTAATTCGTGGATTGGTCGATTTAACCACGTCGATTAATCTGGCTTGGAATATTTAAAACATTGGACATGGACATTGATTGAATATTGATTTTACTCATCTATTGTTTTTATATTATTTAAAAAAAAAATCTATAGCCACCATATATAGAATTATTCAGATACTACACCGGGCCATATACTATTAGTGATTTTTAATCACATTGCATGTGGTAAAATCAGTGTATTTAATCTTGTGTAGTATGAAATAAACCTACTGATCGAAGTCCCTATTTAATTGCAATAATTGTGCTATCTTGATTTGCACTGCATGGCAACATTATTGATCTACATATAATAACAAACAAACTTATGTGTATGTGTGTTTAATGGGTACTTACTATGTAGGACAACGATTTAAATCCATATAGTATATTTCACCAGGTGCATAATCTCATAAAACTGCATATTTATAATTATGTGCAATTCAATGATTAATAATCACTCGATTTATTCAACCTGGTATAGCATCAAATAGACATGTTGATCGAAGTCCCTATTTAATTGCAATAATTGTGCTATACTTTATTAAGAAAAAAATAAAACAATCATAATAATAGAAGAGACATATGTGTGGCAATTTCCAGCAATATATATATATATATATATATATATATATATATATATATATATATATATATATATATATATATATATATATATATATATATATATATATATATATATATATATATATATATATATATATATA